ACTAGTGTATTTTACCCAGCCCACTCTATTAAACAGCTTTGTGTACAGTTGCTTAACACACCAGTTATAAAGTCAAACACTAAATACAAACCAATGAAGTTTATTTGGCAGATATTTTACACCAGTGTTGAAATGGGTGAAGAGGATACCCGATTTGTTTCAGAGGATCATGACAGCCATGAAGGACACAGGAAGGACACCAGTGCCAGTAAACATACATCTGATGCAAGTACAGATAAATCAAGTAAAACACAAGTGAGCTGATTATGTGTATCAGAAACAGTGAGGCCAGCAGGCCTCATTAATCATCATGTATGATGATTAATGTGTATCAGAAATAGTGAGGCCAGCAGGACCAGATTGTCCCTTGCATTTGGCGCTGGTGAGGCTGCACCTTGAATCCTGTGTTCAGCTTTGGGTAGCTCAGTACAAGAAGAACATTGAGGTGCTGGAGCATGCCCAGAGAAGGGCAACAAAGCTAGTGAAGGGTCTGGAGCAGATGTCTTATGAGGAGCAGCTGAGGAATATGGGATTGTTCAGCCCAGAGAAAAGGAAGCTCAGGAGAGACATTATTGCTCTCTACAACTGCCTGAGAGGAGGACATAGCCACGTGGGGGTTGGATTCTCCCAAGTAACCAGCAATAGGACAAGAGGAAATAGCCTCAGGTTGTGCCAGAGGAGGTTTGGTTTGAATATTAGAAAGACATCATCAAAAAGCATCTTTCTGAAACCATAATGACTCTCTTAGCAGAACTCTACTCCTTGATCTAAAAGTGAAGCATGATGAAGTATCTCATTTTAGAACTGCTTTCATGTGGGCCAAACCAGATTTATCAGGCAGGATGAAAGTTTTAATCTTTATTCTCCCCTCCACTTTCCAGTAACAATGGGGAAAGCAGTAAGCATTTCCTTCATGTGATGTGGCTGTTCAGCCATTCAGCTTCCCAGTCACATAGGGGTTATAGCTGCTCCTGAGTAAAACATTCTCTTTTCTTTTTTGAAAAGTGGCTAAGCTATTTTTGTTTAAGATTTCAAAAGAAGTGTTCTGCCTGCAGCAGAAATACAGCATGAAAAATTTCTGCCCAAATTATTAAAGAATGGTGGAGTAACAAACTACTGAAAACAGATGGAGTTGGGCATAAGAAATTACAGTTGCCATCACTCATGGCCTTTATACTCTCGAAGCATTTATACCATAACATATATTCAAGTGTGCACTACCATTCAGCAGAGTTCTCACTTTTCTTACCTTCTGTGCTCCTTAAAAAAAAAAAAAAATACAGACTTTCTGGCAGTAATACTGATCTTCAATAAATGTACTTCCAAGTAATTAGAGGTCATTAGGTCAAGCTTCCACTCAGCAATCAGGTGGCAAGAACCTCCTTACCTCAATGTCATTATTTCTTATAAAAATCAATAGTGACTTTATCCTTACTCACTGTTTTAGTTCAGTGTAACAGTGCAAATAGCACAGGAAAACTCAGAGAGAGAGGGGTCTGAACAGATACCAAGAAAGCTAAAGGAGTGGGTTTTAATAGACTGGGTTTTAATTTCTTGAAGGAAGTTGCCATACAAACAGATAGCAAGAATCTTTCAACACTTAACAAGAAAGGCAGTAATTACACATTCTGGGGTGGGAAATCTATCATCAACACCATTTGTAGAACGAATTATAGCACTGACTCTTGCTTATATTATAAGAGTGCAGAAGCAAAGAGGTGGATATTCTAGCAACCACTGGATACAGAGAAAGCTATAATAAATGGAAGTCAGTTTAGCAAGAACTAGGAGATAAGACACTTTACACTAGAACCTTCATATCTTATTGGTGGATCCATTTATTTTTTTAATATCAACTTGGATTAAACAAGGGGACAAATTTAGGATTAAAGCCAACAAAGAAACAGGTGTGCATTTCCATTTCTATTTGATTTATATTGTTACAAATCAATTTCATACAAGAGAAGAACCTTCTGGTATATCAAAGACTCACTATAGTGAATTAGAGTGGTTCCATGGAAATAATAGTTATATTTGTTCAAAATTAATACACAGTAAGCCTGGATCTCTCTACATTTACTATTTAAGGCACCTACAGCTAATCTGGGAGAAAACTCTAAAGTTTTAATCCAAGGAAACTAATTTTGCCTAACTGAAATGATGCAGAAGTATCCTCTTCATCTCAGGAAAATTAATGGTAAGGAAGGCCTGCATCCACTAATGGGTTGACTTTTCTGTTAGTATCACTAGATGGAATCCACACCACTAAGGAATTATATGAATTCTAAAATATTCTTTTTTGTTTCTTCACATTCTCTGGACATAGTTTCAAAGGAGTTTAATGTTAGACCTACCCTCTAGACAAAGCTTTAACAGCAAATGAAGACTGACTTACTCCTATTACTGTAGTCCAGCCAGACCATTTCAGTAAAATTCAGCCCTCAGTGCATTTAGTGGGAGATTTCCTAAGAAGTTCAGATGAAGCCAGGTTTTCATCTCAGCTTCTCTCTTCTGGTGTAGAACTGACTATTACTAGGCAGAGATGATGCATTGTTCTTTATAGTCTGCACCTGTGTCTTGCAGCTAGAGGTACACAGCAAAGTACTTGACAGCTGCTAGAGAGAAGAGTCTGGAAACTGTCAACTCAGAGGGATGCTTTTAGAGCTCGCACTCTTTGGAGTGAGTTCTTTTCTATTTAATCGAAGGAAAAGTATTTTTGTTAAGAAACTTGACATTCCCCATAAGAGCGCTGTTAAGTCAGGGAATGAAAATATGAAATTGCTGTTTGTTGCCGGTGCTGTAAATCTTGCTGAAAGCCTTCACAAACACACCAGATGCAGACTGCTAAATCCTTCCCCTTCATGACAGCACCAAACCACTGACGGAATCACGCTTTCCACAGAGGGGATTGAGCAAGTACCAGATATGTAAAGCCTGTATGCATCACTCATGATTAGCAAGTGAGGCGGATGCCATACTCAAGCAATAATGTTAATATTGTACAGCCAGATAAAAATATCACATGTATACAAGAAACAGCTTGATTCTATGCATTCACACTATTACATTTAATTTTGAGTGCTGTGAGGACTGAGTGGCCTAAAAACAGTGCAACATTCAAGTTGTGCATCTAAGTGTTTGTGTATACATGGATACATGCAACAAAATTACCACATCCATAATTATGCACAGAGATAACAATGTTTCCATTATATCTTTCACAGCATCAGCTTGAAAATCAGTAAGTATAGTTTTCTCTTGCTGCAGATGGAAAGCTGAGAGGCTGAACGCCAGGCTGAATGTAAAGTTTTGGCAAAGTTGATTAATTCAGAATTTTAAGACAATGCTTTAAAAAGCAAAAGATTTTATAGATACATGACTCAGAAAGGGCTGAAAATTAAAGCACTTAGTGTGAAATTACTGTGAAAACACTGTGAATCTGTACAAAACTGAAATGTCTCCTTATTTTCAGCATAGCATAAATCTATTCAGCATTCAGGTGATGCACTTAATTGCTTGCGTATCTGTCACTATTTATTCTTTTTCATATAGCTATGACAAAGAAGAAAAATGTAGTCTTTGAATTTAATATCCCAGATTGCTAAGATATATTCATAAACCATTCCATTGTGATTTTGCCTCACTGGCCTTCTAGTCTGTTCCAACAGACCTTCTTGCTACTTAGCCTATCTTTAGCCTTCAGCATTTGTGATCTCCAGCTTACAAGAAATTAGGGCAATATCCATAAAAGGCTATTTCAATTTAGTTTATCCTGCCTTAGACCCAGAAAACAGGTTCACAGACCTATATTAGGTACTAAGAATAGAAATGATACCTAACCAATACCCTAGCCAACAGGAAATGCTAAAGATCGTGAAATTTCAGCTCTTGTGTTTAATGCACCTAACACTGAGCTGCAGAAACGTCTAGGACGAGACCAAAATTCCTTGTTCATAGTATCTTGTGGGGGCTTAGAAGTCTAGATTGTTTATGTTTCAACTAATGCTTAGCTTCCACTTTAATGACTTTCCTTTGGGCTAATTATTCAGTGCAGGAAATGGGAGGTTTACAGGAGCAAAAGTCTCTCGGCTGAGAAAGCCAAAACCTGAAGTACAGCTGATAAAGGTGGTGGCTTCACTCTGGCTTCTACTTCCACAAAGGTCCCTCACCGTCTTTCTACAGGTGCTGAGATCCAAGTCTCAACTGGATTTTCCTTGGAATTAGGCTTAGTTATCGTGAAAGCTTCAGCCTTCCACAAATTATTTTAAAATTTACTCCTGTGCTTTTACTTAGATCCAAGAGCATTACCTCTAGCTGGAATAAGTCAGTTTTGAAGTCTATTTCTGCAACGTGACCTTTTACAAAAATCTCACATCTAAGCCAAACGTCACTCCGGAGTAACTCAAATTCCTCCTGAAGTACGAAATGCCTGGATCCCGAGAAGGAAGGCGAGGGGCGGCACCGGGGCAGGAGGGCCGTGAGAGACCAGAGGTGGAAAACCTTCGGCGCTCGAATCCACCTCGGCGGCCGCTGCCCGCGCCGGGCTCTCCGTGCTGTGTCAAACGTTTCCAGCTGTGGAGTTCAGCCCCCTCTGATGAAAAGAAAACACGCTGTCCCCGCAGCGGACCCCGCACTCTCCCGAGGGGCCGCTCCGGGCTGTGGGGCACGGCCCCGCTCCGCAGCTCCCGGCGGCACCGGCCCGCGCCCGCCCGGCCCCGGTTTCCGGCGGGACTTAGTGCGGCTGCGCCTCCCTTCCACCGCGCTCGGCCGGGCCGCGGCGGTGCCGCTCTCCCTGCCCGGGCCGTGCCCGCCTCCCTGCCCGGGCCGTGCCCGTCTCGCCGCGGTCTCCATGCCGTCGCGGGTGCTGTGCCTGGGCGGCGGGGCCGGGGGTCCCGCTGCGCGCAGGGTCCGCCTGCTCCTGCGGCAGGTGGTGGGCGGCGGCGCGGCGGCGGCGCGGTGCGGCCGCTCCGAGGTCAGAGCGCTGCGCAGCTCAGGTAACCCACCCCGGCCCCGGTGTCTCGGCCCCGCTGCCGCAGCAGCCCCGGCGCTGCCGCCGCGCCGTGCGGAGGCCGGGCCGGCAGCACGTACCGCCCTGCGGGCCGCGGCTTGTGCAGGCTGCGCTGCCGCCCCTGTGTCTCCCGTGTCCGTGAGTGCAGGGGCTCCGGAGCAGGGCAAGGGAGCTGGCGAAAGGTCTGGTGTGCAGGCCCATGAAGGCGATGGGGTTATTTGGCCTGGAGAAAAGGAGGCTCGGAGGGACCTCATCTCTCCTATAACTCCCTGAAAGGAGGGTGTAGCCAGGTGGGGGTTGCTCTCTTCTCCCAGGTAACAACTGACAGGATAAGAGGGCATAGCCTCAAGCTGCACCAAGAGTGATTTAGGTTGGACTTGAGGAAGGATTTCTTCACAGGAGCGGTGATTTAAGTGTTGTAATGGACTTCCCAGGGACGTGGTGGAGTCGCCATCCCTGGAGGTGTTTAAGAAACGACTGCACGTGGCACTGGGTGCTACGATCTGGTTGACACGGTGGTGTTTGGTCATGGGTTGGACTTAATGATCTCAGAGGTCTTTTCCAACCTGGCATGAGAGGAAAGGGCAGAGATCAGTCACAGCTTGGAGGGACGCTCACTGTGGCTTGTGATAGCTCCTGGTCAAAGCTCTTCAGCCACAGTGAGGCAGGGGTCAGCCTGTGAGAACCACCCTGCTCTGCAGAGCGTCTGTCACATCTCGCCATGCTTTCTGTTCTGCAGCACATGGCTTCCTCTTTCGGCTGGGGCAGAGCCTCAGTGTTCGTGTCGGGGGCTGCCAGGGCTGGTGCGTGTTCAGACAGTGTTCTGTGCCGGCAGCATATGGTAATGAGATGGAGGGTTGACCTTGAGCCTGCAGATGCCATGAAGGATGACCTGAACTGCCCTGGAATATCCTCTGGTGACCTTTGAGACAGGGGATGGTCTTGTGCAGAGTAGAAGTGGTATTGGGAAAGGGTGACATATGCCTGTGGTAACTTACACTTCTCAGGATGAATGCCAAAGCAACAAAGCTCCTAAGTATAGTGAGTGATGAGTAGTGATCTGCAAGTAGTGCTGATGGGGGAGTACTTGCTCAAGCTCTTAATTGCACTCCTTTAATCCCATTTATTGCCATTTTAATATTTTTAAATCTGTTTGTTAGTTAACCAGTTCATTTCTTTGTTTAGTTTCTGAACATTTACTCAAGAAGGAAGTAATTGAGGGATCAATAGCCATAAAATTCCTTCAAGAATTTGTGAATAGATAATATTTTATTTGTGAAAAGTACTAAAAAGACTAGAGTTATTTGTATATTTAATAGTTATTTGTATATTTAATAGTTATTTGTATATAAAAGACTAGCTGGGGTTGTTTAGCCTGGAGAAAAGGAGACTCAGGGATGACCTTATCACTCTAAACAACTCCCTGAAAGGTGACTGTAGTCAGGTGGGGGTTGGTCTCTTTCTCCAAGCAGCAACTGACTGAACTAGAGGACAGAGTCTCAAGCTGTGTCAAGGGAAATATACATTGAATATTAGGAAAAAAATTTTCACAGAAAGAGTGATAAAGTACTGGAATGGCCTGCCTGGGGAGGTGTTGCAGTGACCATCCCTGGATGTGTTTAAAAAAAGACTGGATGTGGCACTCGGTGCCATGGTTTAGTTGAGGTATTTGGGCATGGGTTGGACTCCGTGATCTTGAAGGTCTCTTCCAACCTTGTGATTCTGTGCATTCTATTAAGTATCAAACAGAGTAGTGTGAATGTAAACAAGTTAACAATGAAGTGAGTAAAGTAGAACAAGCACCCGAAGAAGGTAGCTCAGCACTTTTCAGCTCTTTGTTGGGACGAGTAACCTTAAGAAGAAAAAGAAATTTAGCAGTGTAAAGTGGTAGCAAATGCATCATTGCTAAAAATATTTCATCACTTTAAATGTGCTGTGGAATGCAACTGAGTTTTAAGTCAGTGATATTTGTGAATACACTCTGTATATATGTAAATAGTAGGAGTATTCACGGTTACAATCAATGATGGTAGGAGTTTTGGTAGAAAGATTTAAGTCTCAAAGCATTAGAGAATCTTGTAGATACTGTTAGGGATATTTGCCCTCCTGACACATCACACTCTTTGTAGTGCTTCCAATTTTTTCTGTGAATTTGAATCAGAAGCTGATTTTATTGAGAATATAAAGAGTTTATATAGGGTTTACTTGTATGACACATACAGAATTCTATTTTTGGTAACAATATCCCATTGGTAACACATTCTTCATTGCATCAGTTTCCAGGTAATAATTACAAAGTTTCGCAACATGTCTCTTGATCACTTGTACCCCAGGGAGCAGTTACCTGTGTCTGTCTCTCCCATGGTTTCTGCTTTATTAGGCCTAAGATACCAGGCTCCTATATAAATTCCATTGTACACTCTGTCTTACTCTCCATATTTGGGACCTTGATGTTTAAAATACTGCATTTTTTGCTGTTTTATTTTGTCGGTGTTTTTAAAATGAATTTTTAAAATGTTTGTGTCCTCTTGCAGACCCTAGCATTTTTTTTAGGATACTGAAGTTACAAAGGATGATGTGAATTTTTTGTGCCATATGTGTTATTGCTATTTCTGTGAAGCTGCTGTAATTACAGTTCTTGTTGTAAGTGGTGTTGAGATTTCATAAATAAATAAACAAAATGTCTCTTAAAAGGCTGGAAGCTGTTAACAGTCAACCAAACAGCAAATTGTTGTGTATGCAGTAATTTGGATGTGATGTCGCTGCCAGGCCAGGGTTGAAATCCCAAACAGGATTTACTGTTTAACCTGGTACCTTTTAAATGTAAGGAAGCAACTGTTGCCTGATGTTGTGCTGTTACATGTGAAGAAGCCATCCTTCTTAGCTTTTCAGCTCAGTCTTTGCAAAGTGAACGTGGCTTGCTGGTTCACTGGGGGCTATGGAGGAATCGCTAAAGCTGTCAAGTGGTAAAGCTTTAGAGAAATCTCAAATTGAAAGAGACTGCAGGACAAAAGGGTGATGGGAATGTCTAGGAAGGGTTTGGGGTTGCACAGCGTAATTAACGAGGGAAACAATTTATAGTAGCGAGTGTTGTAGAAGGCTGACTGTCAGAATCCTTTTTAATGCAGGTTTCATGTTTCCTTGTTGCTGTTGAGTCAGGGATGAGAACAAAAGACTCCAGTCTTCAGAAGGTGAACAGAAGGCGTTTAATAGAAATTAGCGTGTCTTTTATAACCTGAGACTTGATTTGGCCTAAAGCAAAAACCTCTCACACTATTGGAGAACTAAGAATAGCACACTTTGGAAAATCGTATCCATAAACAACCTGTGTAGAAAGAGAGATAATTGTTTTAATTCTTTCCTCTGAGCTTTCTCACAGCTTCCCAGGAAAATCCTGGGAGAGCTATGTCTCTCTCTGTTCAGAGAATATGTGATTACCACATTTCCTTCTAAAAGACTTAAAAAGTATAAAATTTTTGTAGACTGTAGATTTTTGTAGACTTGCTATGAATTAGTTTAAATGGACTATGAGCTGGATAAAATGGAGTTCTGTGTAACTCAGTTCACATTTATTTAGTTATTTTAATCTGTATGTAATATTAATATTTTTAAAAGGTTGACAGAATACACAATAGTGAGTTGCTTTAAGGGATTACAGGGAACAAACACTAAATTTTATGTAAACGAAAGAGTTGGAAAAAGAATAACCATTGCCAATCAGATAGTACAGGCAAAGGAAGGTCTCTTGTGTGCTTTGCTGCTCAGTGTACATAAAATAACTTACGCTTTGTCATTTGTATAGGCCAAAATATGTACTGGCTACATTTGCTGTTTTCTGTAGCATTGCCTGTCCAGGTTCACTTCCTCTACTTTCCTTATGTGAAATGTTTGGTCAATTCCAGTTCCTAATCAAACTTGTATTTAAAGTCTATAAGATCTCAGTAGTACATGCAAGTGTACTTGTATGTATATCTGCTGAGTAAAACACAGTCACTTGGGAAAATGCATTGCACTTCAGAATCCTGTAATGTTCATCATCATTGTACAGGATGTAAAAGATTGTGGTAAAAATCGATAATTTGAAAGAAGGCTACGAATTTGATTGTGTGTTTGTAAGTGGTTCTTTTTTCCACGTTTGTCATTGTCAAAAGACTAAAGATCTGGTTGATGATGGATGTAAATGCTTTCTGGCATGTTGCCTTTTCCAGTTTTACCTGTGTCATTATCTTTGTTGAGGTTCAGTTGTTGACAGCTGTGAGTGTGTTTCTGACAATATTTTTTTTCACTGGCAAAACCTATTTTTAGAGAGACTTCATTCTTTCTTTTTTCTCATGGCATTCCTATAATTGTTCATTGCCTCCGTAGTTGTACTTAGGGGACTGCATTGTGGTGACTGAAATGATTCCAGGGATTTGATTTATGGTGAGCCTTGTGTACGGTTGTTGCGTCAGCACAACTCAGAAGGCAACAAATGGGGATGGGAATTTTCAAAGCCAGTTGTCTGAAAGTTTGCAGAGTTATGCCTGGGTTATTTCAAATTATTCTAACATTTAGAAAGAAAAGGTTCATGGTAAAAAAAAATAGTGTATTTTATTAGACATGCTGATGTAGCTGGAACAAAGGGGTAAAATGTCAGGTCAACTTCTGTAGGGCTTCACTTTTGGTATATAACTGGATGTCAGTAAATAGTTTCTGAGTGTTAATATTTGCCTGATGTTTGAAATTTAATTTTTTCTGTTAAACAACTGTTACAGGCCTGATATGTGTTGATGTGTTCTACAAGTTGTGCCCAGCTTAGTGTGTAAGATTGAAGTCGTAGCAGCTTGGCATACTCAGGGACTCAGGATAGCTGTAGGCAATGCCATAGATAATTTTAAAGCTGTTTTGTCACTTTTGGATAGCTTTTCAGTAAATGTGAAATTTCAAAAACATTTATGTTGATTTTCAGTTGCAGATTCTTTTTGACTGAAACTCATTTTTGAAATTATACTGATGTACTTGTTATCTAAGCTCAGATTAGAATGGATAGTCTGGTTTTTCTCCACTGAGCAAAATGTAGTTCAGAAACCTTTGTACAGTTTGAAAACACTCTGAGCTAATTTTCCACAAAAGTAGCACAAAGTGCTACTTTCCACAAAAGCTCACAAAAGTGAGCTTTCATGCTCACGGGGAATTTCAGCCATGCAGACATCAGCTAGGAGGGCAATCTGGCATTGTGCGTGCACTCTTGGTGCTTCCTAGGCTGTGCTGGTAAAAATTTTGTAACTCAGATGCCAGAGTCAGAGTTAACTCTTCACTTTGTCTGCTGCTTTCAAGTAGGGAAGAGCTGTGACCAGCTTGGTCACAGGGAGCAACCTGGATCTCAGTGACTGGAGCATGAATGAGTTGCACGTCTGGATGAAGGCTGGGAAGGTGAGCAGCAGAATTAGGATCTTGGAGTTGAGGATTGCAAGCTTTCACTTTCAGGAGATTAGTAGGTAGAATCCTTTGGATGACAACCATGAAGATGGAAGGTACACACGAGAGCTTGAAAATTTTTAATGAAAACTTAATGGCAGCTCAGGAATGAACTGTTCAGCAGTAGCAGAAGGCTTTTTTGGCCAAGCAGGGAACTTCTCAATGACCTAAAACACAAAAGGGGAACATATGAAAGTGCAAGTAAGGACAGACAGGAGTGTAAAAGTACAATTTAGTATGTACGGACAAAACCCCTACCATCTTGCCAGAGTGCAGACATTTAGTTGAGAAGGATCCTGATGAACATGAGAACTGGGACAACAGAAACTTCAGAAAGTTTAGGAAGTAGGAAGGTCTGCCAGTGGACTAATTGTTGCTGGGAAGGGACTGACTGAGTAACAGCTTTGGTGATGAGACAGAGTGAAAATTTAACAAGGTAGAAATCCATTTGGATTTAGGTGAAATGTACCACTTGGAGCTTGCTAACATAAGTAAAATATGCTGTTTAGTCTAGTAACTGCAACACTAGCAAAGTTATCCCAGCTAAAGAGAAAAGAATACAAATTTCCACACTAAAAAAATAAGAAATAAGAAAGACTCCTCAGACCTTGAAATAGACAGGGTAGAGTGACCCAAGAGTTCTTTCTATACTTTCTAACAAAAACTAAGTACAAGTGTAACTAGCTGTAAGTGTAATGCAAAATCAACAAAATGAATATGCATGAACCTATTGTGAAATTCTATACATTTAAAAATTAATAAAAGTAATAAAAAAAAATCAAGAATTCTCAGAAATGCGCATGTCCATTAAAGAACAATGAATCCCCACATGCGTCCAGCGCTGTTAATAAACATACCATTCTCTACAAATCTTTATTAAAATTGTGGCGTATTAATTTTTCATCCGTGTTTCAGTGAAGAGGCTGTGGGATTGCAGTGACATCTGGTTGAATACAGCAGGAGAAGAGATTGGCTTGAGTGGCTGTGGAACATCCGTCCTTGAAGGTTTTTCAAATTCAGTCAGAGCCACAGCTCATCAGATCTCATCTCTAAACTGATGTTGAGGTTGAAGATGACCACTGTTTCTGGAGTGTTTTGATGTTTGATAAAATGAGCAGCTTAATACCTCTCTCACATGGTAAATGTATTATGAAGAGATATTCTGGAATTTATCAAGTCTGTGTAAGATCATCGTGGTAGTAAACATTAAAATTGACTTTTCACCACATAAGACTTCTGTAATTGAGCATTAGCAGACTCCCTACTTTCAGGGTATTGGCCCAAACAAATAATAGCTCTTGCTAAGTAAAGATTGTATGCTTCCTGCATGGCTGGATGATAGAATCATAGAACATGCTGAGTTGGAAGGGACCCTCTAGGTTCATTGGGTCCAACTCCTAGCTCTGTGCAGGACATCCCATGTCACACCATGTGCCTGAAGGGCATTGTCCAAAAGCTTCTTGAGCTTTGTCAACCTTGGTGCTATGGCCACTTCCCTGGCAAGCCTGTTCCAGGACTCAAACACCCTCTGGGTGAAAAGCCTTTTCCTAATATTCAGCCTAAATCTCCCCGACACAGCTTCAAGCTATTTCCCCAGGTCTTATCACTGGTCACCAGAGAGCAGAGATCAATGTCAGTTAAGATTGTGCGTTCATGTTGTTGATCTTCTACTAATGCAGAAAATGAAAAATGTTATCTTTCTGGAGTAAATACCAAGATTTTGGTTTCATGACACCTTGGACTGTAACCAGCAAAGACACTCATTAGCCAGCCCAAAACAGACAATTGAAAAATCTAATGTTAGCTTAAAACCTGAAAATAATAAAAAAAAAAAATAGGTCTAAAAAGAACATTGAGTAGAGACTGAGTAATATTCAAATTTTATATTTGAAACAGTTGTTTTGGTTTTTTAGAGGGAAAGATTTCCTTTTGCCCATAAAAAACCAAGAACTTTAGTAGATTTTTTTGCATAGCTCAGAGATAGGTTTTGTTGTGTAAACATTTCACCTATTTCAGTCAGCAGCAGCTCTCAGACTGCATGCAGCATCCTGTTGACAGGAGCTGAGCTCCACCTCTACTATGTGTGAAGGCACTGGTGGTCAAGGAACAGCCTGAAACCTTGTGAGTGGAGGGAATATATTTCTGTCACTCATTCATGTGTTTGAGAGGTTTCCAATACTGATATGAGGTGCAGAATGGGTAACAGTGTTGCTCAATTAATGTAATATTTGCAGCCATAATGATGCTATGAAAGGTAAAAAAGAAGTAAGTTACAGGGCTGCTTTTTTCCCCCCTCCCCTGAATAGTGTATTTGGTAAAGTTAAGGAAAAAGAATAAATCTGGAAAGTATAATTTCTGTTTCTTCAAAATAAGTCAGCTCTTCAAGGATAGTAAGAGCTGACATTCCTCTCTGTTTCTTTATGGAAGTGTGCTGGATAAATACCAGATCAAAGCATATTTTTTCCCCCTCTTTCACATAAAAATGAAATTACGACCTTGAAATGTGTATTTGAATATAATATAGATTTCAGATTTTCCTTTAACAGGTGTGGTTTTATCACATAGAAATTATTATTAGCAGAGTGCCTTCCCAGTTTGAATATGTTCTTGCTGTTGCAGGCTCTTGAAACCAGGTGGATGGTCTGTGTACAAGTGAATGTGCAGTATACTAAGGAGATTGTGTTAATCTCACCTATTTTCAGGACTAAAGAAGTCAGAAGGCAAATTCAGCAACCTAAAAACATAATGTTCCCAAAGCTTCATTCTAGTGTCTTACAAAAACACACATAATACAAATATGATTTGCACATGAGATTGGAACTATTTGTGTTGTATACTCAAAAACCTAAATACATGTATAGATCTCTTCAGGTTGTTTTCTTTTACAGTAGGATTGCTTAATTTCTTTAATTTAAAATAGCCTTTTCAAATGTATTAGTTTTATTCTTTTTTTATTGATGTGTTATTTTACAGAAAAATGGCAAGTAGAATAAAACTTATTTCTACTTTGTAAGTTCTTAATGTGTAGTTGATATGCAATCTGTTTATGCATGACCAGTGTTGGTGTAAATAATTTAAACAGCAATGGCTTTTTCTTTTCAGCATACAGGGATAAATAGTAGGATTAGGGAATAGTCTCTTCTTGGGAGGTGGAGAGGTAAGGAGGGAGAGTTGGTGTGGTACTTTCTAGCTTTTAAGACCAGTCAAACCTGCCAAGTGTATAGCGAGACTGCATGTTCAGGAAACCTTCTCACTGAGATTGTAACATCACATCATCCACAGTGGGTCAGAACAAAGGTCCATCAAACCTACTGTTCCATATTGGCTAACAGTGAGTAGGAGATGCTGGGGAAGAATAAAAACACAGGCTGTTCATGCAGGGGTGCCCTGCCAAAGTGCCTTCCTGAGGCAGCTGAGCTGCCTCCTCTGCAGCTCAGGGGCTTGGAGCTGGAGATGCTGCCTTTCTATTCAGGCTGAGTAGAAGAAATAGGCCTGCTTGTCTGAAGAGCTCTTCTCAGTTACTGTAAAAAACAGATACAGACAATAATATTTCTTCTGTCTAAAATGTAGGTCTAAAGAAGAGAGCATATTATTTAGTGCTCTGCAATTAATGGGTAGCTATATGTCCATATATACATTTCTATAATGCCAGAAATGCATTATAGAATGCATTTCTGTCTTTTTCAGATGCAATAGAAAGAGCTCATTTCATGTATTGGAGCTGTTTTCATATCTCTTTTTTTTTTTTTTTTTTTTCTTTCCAGGAAGTCTCTTCAGGGTTGTGTTACTGGTTTCAATCTTTATGTGCTGCCAATTTTTTGCCCCTATTGCATAGGTTCTCAAAAGACCTCCTGTGTCTGTATGCCATTTGCCCTGTGAATGGGATGTCCCCTTTACCTTTTGGGTTTTGGCTAATGTGGCTCTTGTTTTGTTTCAGCAGCCATGTTTTTTTGTATGTATTATGCACTGCTTGTAGCCCACTGTTCTCCTCAAAGACTCTGGTATTTAAGGTTACTGTTTTCTCAGTGGGAGACAAGAAAGCAGAAGCACATCTTCACTGCTTGCACAAGCAAGCCTGATACAGCCTACAAAGTCTCCATCACAAATTGCTGTGGATATAGCTCTTGTCCACAATAGTGTGGGAGTAGCTTGTGGAATGGGTTACAGTATATGTGGGCAGTTCCATAATTTGCCATGTAGTCAAACAATTTGGGATACATGTGTTCAAATTACGGGTTTTGCTGACTTAACACCACCATTTTACCAAGCAGGCTGTTATCAGTCCCTTGCCAGCTGGTGAAACACTAGAAAGAGCCTGTCCAGAATGACATCTCTGTTCAAAGGGTTTGGAAATGTAGTGGAAATAGAGTAACCAAACATGAGTTTTTAACAACTACAGAAGAAACAAATTGAGATGAGAAAATGTAGCCCAGGTGTAAGTGCATGATAAGATTAGTGGGCTAATCCTCCCTGTGCTCATTTAGCTAGCAAAATGGACTTTGCTGTCTTGGTTTATTATTGCTTAAGGTTCTATTAAACACTGCTAATATTTTTGCTTTTTGGACAGATGCAAGCTGGAGGCAACATTTGTCTCCAGGCAGCAACATACAATTAAAAGCTGAATACCCTGTGTGCTCAGTTCTCACCACATCTTACATATAGTTTTCTCCCAGTCCATTTTTCATGAAAGGGTCCATTTTTTGGTAGGGTCCATTGATGTCCAAAATACTTGTGGGATTTTTGAACATGGTTAGATGTGTTGGTCAAGGGTTAGCCTGATATGGACTTACATAAATACCACCAGAAGTGATGTATTTTTCACCTAGATGAAACTTGGTTTTGATTTGTTTTGGTTTTTTTTTTTAGGAAGTGTAGGAAATCAACTGAGGCTTTTGAGTACTGGAGTACTGTGCTAATAAACTAGGTAATTGGAATTCTATCCTGTAGATGTTATCATCATCCCAATGTATTGGAAAAGTTTGACATCTTGTTGTTTTGGCATCTTGGCCTTACTGGGTTTTGGAAGACTGTGTATGCATGACATAGTATTTACTACTGAGCTGAGGTGATTTCAGCTAGGAGTTAATTAATCATATACTCTTGTCTAATTGCATTTTGCCTGGGGAATTCTGAGAAAATAAACTGTCACTAATTTCTTAGGGATATGTAAGGCAATCTGCTCTTTTTAGAATGTTAAAGTTGTTCCAGGCTGAGCTAATGAGAGAGATGTCAACTTTTGCAGGAAGCAGTGGGCTCCTAGGGTGTTTTCATCAACTTGGAGGCATTTTTTTTCATAGAACCATAGATTAATAGAATATGCTGATCTGGAAGGAACCCACAAGGATCATCAGCTCCTGGCCCTGCACAGGAATTTGCCCCAGGAATCCCACCATGTGCTTGAGAGCATTAGCCAAACACTTCCTGAGCTCTATCAGGCTGTGACCACTTCTGTGGGGAGCCTCTTCCAGTGCCCAACCATACTCTTGGTTGAAGAGCCTTTTCCTAAATCTCCCAATACAGCTTCATGCCTTCCTGATCTCCAGAGATAAGAGATCCGTTCTTGCCCCTGCCCTTCCCCTCATGAGGAGGCTGCAGACCACAATGAGGTCTCCTCTCAGTCTCGTCTTCTCCAGGCTGAACAAGCCATGTGACCTCAGCCACTCTTCATATGGCTTCCCCATATCCCATCACCATGGATAGCCCAGATTAAAAAAGTGTATTGGCGCCCTGCCATGATCCCTATTAGCTGTTCCCAGTGAGAAAGGGTGAGCTTGGAACTGCAAGAAAGGGAAAGGGAGATGATGCTTAGTCAGTTAAATAGTTTTTCTTACTTTAAAACTCAAAGAAATGGGCAAAACACTGGGATAGCCAAAGACTAGATTTTAGTCCCTGCAGTTCTGTGTCTATTGTTCAGTGACTTTAATTTCTGTAAGAGTTCCCAGAGTCAGGACTAGGGCTCTAAACTATGGCAGGACTTTCTTTTGGACTGTGTTTGAATGCTTCAGGCTGGAGAGTGCACAGTACTCTTTGGTGCATCTAAAATGAAAATTCAGCAAGGGCCAGAAAAGGAGCTACCGCTGCCTAATTGTTAGCTTAGTCCAGCTCTGTTTGGAACCATTCTACTTCTGGACTCTTGCACAATCAAAGAAGGATTGATTGCTTAGTTCTGGCATGGTGAGTGGGAACTGCTTGATTCTGCTTGCCCTGAGAACCAGGGATGAATCTTTGTCTGCATTTTCTATGGCAGTACTCTGTCCCACTTTCTGGCAAGCTATTGGAGCACTGTATTGCTCCAACTGTATTGTTGTAAAATACATATTTATATTGTATTGCATAAAATGTGGGAACAATCACCAGCCTACTACCTTTTGCCGATATTTTAGGGAAGAATGGAGGGCTGATATTTAGACTCCAGAAGCAATGTAAAGACACATGTGCAGACATGTATGTCAGGCTGTGAATCCCAGTCTCTGAATTCTAGTCAAGCCCTTCAATTTAGGAGGAAATCAGCTATAAGCCTTTCTTCACTGCTTCACTGCTTCCTGTTTGTTACTGTAGGTGATTCTACTCTGGCTGTTATAAATCTTGTAATTTCCCATGAATTGTGTGAGCCATTTCAGAACCTGGGAATTCTCAATCCTGTGAGATGAGCAGTAACATCTGGGAATGCTGGAAGA